TCACCAGTCCTACATCGTCCGTTGGGTCAAAGTCGACGAAGGCCATACCATATCCTGGAGCGTTCAACCACACAAAAAGTCCATGTGCGTACCTCTCCCCCCTCTTCTCCTCGCTATACTTCTCCAACTCGACACGTGCTTACCTCACGCCGAGGCAGAAACTTTGGAATCGTCAAGCATCCGGGCACCGGTGCCACCGGCTTGATTGCGAACCAGAACGACGACACCGCAACCGCCGGCGCCCTCACCTCCGGCGTAGCCGAACCCAAGGGTCGCTTTGCCAAGCGCGACTCCATCACCGCCCAAGACCAGCTCTCCAGCAAGGGCTTCATACCCGTCAAATGGCACGGGAAATGCGATGCAGACAAGGTGTCCACCGGCACCTGGGATGTCGAGAAGGGCCAGGGCGGCATGTTCGGCCTGGTATTTGACAACACCTTTTCCAAGCAGATTTCCAAGACGGCGACCTTCGTCCTTCTGACCTACCCGACCGGTGCCCCGCCCCAGACTACCGCCAACGCCTTCCCGAACCTCCAAGCTGCGAATGCGAGTGCCAGCAGAACCAGCCTGCCCCAAGTGACCACCGTCACTTCCGCTTCCCAGGACAGTCTCCACAGCCATAAGACCGGCGGCGGTGTGCGACCGACGTCCGCCTCGGGACGCAGCGAGAATGCCAACTACCATACGGGTATTCTTCACAAGAGGAGGAGGAAGAAGGGCCAAGGATATGCGCGCAGATTCTTCTCCCTCGACTACTCGTCTTGCACCTTGTCGTACTACTATAACCGCAACTCTTCGGCTCTGCGCGGTGCCATACCTCTCAGCCTCGCAGCTATCGCGGCCGACGAACGTCGCAGGGAGATCAACATTGACTCAGGTGCTGAGATTTGGCACCTGCGAGCATCCAATGCGAAGGATTTCAACGACTGGGCGCGGGCTCTGGAAAAGGCCAGCCGCGCGGCCAGAGGGTTGGAGGCCCCCGATGACCAACCGAACAATGCCAGGTCGGCGCCTTTACGAGTCAACACCACCCATCTGAAGCCAAATGCGACAAGCATGGAGGAAGACCGCGAATGGCAGCAGGTTGAGACGTTGGTCAGCCGAATGGTTGGGACCCGAGATGCTCTGCGTCGCTTGGTCAAGGACATGTCGAATCAAAGGCCTGTCAGCATGGCAGCGTCGAGCTTCCTGTCTCCCACCAGCATGGGCGAAGAGCCCGACAGCTATTTTCCCTCCCCTTCCCCTCAGGCAACCGAGCAGCAGGCACAGAGACGACCATTTTGGAAGCGCAAATCGAGTAATGCGACCCCAACAGCTACAACGCCGCAGGCGCATCAGGCATCCGCTGCGACCGCTCTGGCTGTTCCGGCCCCGAACACGGTCACGACCACCATTTCCTCCAATGGTCCTCGTCACCACCACTCCAAGTCAAAGGCCTCAATCCATGAAGAGAAGAGTACACAAGAGCACTGTGCATCACTTCTCAATGACCTTGACTCTGTGGTGTCTGAGTTCACGACGCTGATCGCCAACAGCAAGCGCCGCAGAGCACCCGCTCCGCTGTCCGCCGCCCCCTCTCGCAGGAGTATGGAAACCATGTCAACGGACGAATTCTTCGATGCCGAGGCAGGGGAGACGAGTTCGCAAATTGTCCGAATTGCTCAGAGTGAAGATGAAAGCCCGGACTCTGAGCCGGACGAGGGTAATTTGACCGATTCATCCTCGATTTCATCGGCACCAGAGTCGGATGCCGGCATTGGGCAAGATGATACGAGCTGCTACCCGGCAAAGCCCAAGAGCCTGTCGCCGCTGCCAGTTGACATCTCAATAACCAGGCGAACCAAGGTTCCGCCGGCCTTGGTTCAGCCCCCGAGTTTGATCGCTTTCGTCCGGAAGAACGTCGGCAAGGATCTCAGTACTATCAGTATGCCCGTGTCTGCGAACGAGCCGATATCACTCCTGCAACGTGTAGCGGAACAGCTAGAGTATGCGCAGCTTCTCGACCAAGCTGCGCGCGCAAAGGAGCCCAAGGAACGTCTCCTGTACGTCACCGCCTTTGCCGTGTCACAATTCAGCAGCGGACGAGCCAAGGAGCGTGCTATCCGCAAGCCCTTCAACCCGCTTCTCGGAGAAACGTACGAAATGCTCCGAACAGAACAGGAGGTACCAGGAGGCTTTCGCCTGCTTGTCGAGAAGGTTTGCCATCGCCCGGTGAGGCTCGCCATGCAGGCGGATTCGGCAAACTGGTCCTTCAGCCAGTCTCCCGCGCCGTCACAAAAGTTCTGGGGCAAGAGTGCCGAAATCACCACGGAAGGCCGCGTCCGCGTCGCACTGAGACTGCCTGACGGAACAGATGAGCTGTACTCCTGGACTCATGCCACGATGTTCCTGCGCAACGTAGTCATGGGTGAGAAGTACGTTGAACCCGTTGGCGTTATGCCGATTACCAACGACACCACTGGTGCCAAGGCCTCCGTCGAATTCCGCAGCAAGGGAATGTTTGGAGGACGAGGCGAAGACGTCCAGGTGGAAACATACGGTCCGGATGGTGTCCACACTGGCAGCAGTCTGTCGGGAACGTGGACTGGCAGCCTTCGCGTTGTCGAAGCCGGCAAGGCCGCCGGTCAGGAGATCTGGCGCGTTGGCAAGCTTGTCGACAATGCCGCCAATACGTACGGTATGACGACATTTGCTGCCGCTCTGAACGAGGTCACCGATATCGAGAAGGACAGACTACCGCCAACGGACAGCAGACTGAGACCCGACCAGCGCTTGGCGGAGAAGGGAGACTTGGATCAGGCAGAGGAGTGGAAGGTCAAGCTCGAGGAGGCACAGCGAGCACGCCGTCGCGTGCTGGAAGAGAAGGGCGAAGAGCATAGGCCGAAGTGGTTCGTCAAGGTCGGACAAGGCCCAGAGGGCGAGGAGGTTTGGAAGCTGAGGACCGGCAAGGACTCGTACTGGGAGGAGAGGTCCAAGGGGACATGGAGCGGCTTGGAGGAGATTTTTTCTGGGTAGAGAGGTTTTCAAATCAAAAGAGAAGCCAGTCGCGGCGTTTGGGACTCCCATTTTATTCCGTTCTCTGGTATAGCGTGTTCAACATGTACCATCGGCAGTTTGTCGACTTTGGACAGTTTCGCACTGCACTGCATATGTGAACATAATTGGTCTTGAGTCATATGGTTGATGTTACGGTACTTGATCTGTGGTCGAGTGAACCTGCCAATGTGTTTAACCTACTACTGAACATTATCAGACCATCTCTGTGTACGCGAAAACGTGCCTGTCGGATCGAACTCCATGTCAGAGGACTCTCGGTCGGCATACCGACAATCAAGCCACATGAGGATGACAAGCGCGAGCAAGGTCGGGATCGAGCTGAGAGAGATGGCAGAGCCACATACCGCACCCATCCTGCAGAATATGGGTGATATCTAGACTACGGATCAGTTTGGCGAAGGATATGCAGAGGGAGATTTGCTTGGAGGGCTGGACAAGGAGATTGAATCGTCTCCTATTTCCGAGGCCCAACAGCTGAAGGGAAGGGTGGAGGCTGGATGATTCCAGATTATCTCAACCAAGCATGATACTCGGCTCGACGACCCAGCGGCGTGACTATGTTGAGAGGCTGCCATGGAAGTTGTCGAAGCAGGTGTCGAGGTTGACTCTGACCTCGGCTCAGAATGGCTTCACTCAACACCTACAGTCATTACGCCAACCCCGGCCACGGTTGTAGCCTTGGAATACCCCCTTTCGAACCCGCTTTCAGGACAGAGGTGAAGACAGCCTGGCCTCGGTTCCAGTCAAACTTTCACAACAGACAAGTTCTCGACGATTTCGAAGCTCACCGCCTCACAAGTGTCCTACGCTGTGCGGAGCAACCCGCACCAGATGAGCCTTACTGATGCGACAAAAATGAAGATGAAGGAACACGAACCTGCTTCACAAAAGGGTATCATGCAGATTTTGAAAACGTTGTCTGACATTCCGGTCTAGACTCAAATCCTCTGAAGACTCGTTCAATCAGTTGATGGTTAATAGCAGGGAAGTGAAAATGGGATACGATACCGAGCAACCATCTCGCCAAAAGTGGTCTGTCTGACACGCTCAAACAGCCCTGGGGTTATTGTGGGCTTTCCGGGTATTGGTGTCCACCCGCCTCTTATAAGTTTGGACTGTCAACTTGAATGATCTAAGACTTAAAACTCTTTAGTTCGGGCAAAGCCAATTCGGCTACTTGCACGATGAATGACAGCGATTGAGTAAACACAGTCGGGCTGTGATGTTAAATCTGAATCATCAAGCTTCTCCTCAACTTCATGAATGTGTTACTATGGACTGGTGAAGACATTGCAGAGCAAAAACTTGATTGCGCCCACAACTTAAGCGATAACTTATTGACGTCAAAAGACGGTCAATGATTCATGCGTGAAGACTTTTTAAACTCCATCACTTAAAGTCTTCGTCTAGAAGCGCGAGCAAGTTCGTTGGTAGGTTAGTCTTCAGAATCGCCCCACTTCGTTGTCGGTGAGGTCAACCTCCCCCCGAGTTCGCATCGGGTTCGCTTTCTTCTCCGCGTAACGACAGTTGTCAGCGGGAATTACGAACAAACAAAAAGGAAATAGGGTGAAACCACCGCCAAGTGTATTCCCCATTTTTGGCCTGTACGTCTACTTAAAAATTAGAGTAATAAGGCTCGGATAGAGTATGTCGGGACGTTCATTCCTGAGTCTAATAGATTGAGTTGCGAGTCAGTCGGCGCTGGCCTAGCCTCAACCAGATCAAACAGGCAACTTTTCATCGAACTGGACGATCCAACTCGTGTGATCCGAGCAGTGATTAAAGGAGTGCTCCGTCTTGGCGAGGATGTAAATACATCGCGCTTCCTCTCGGAATTTGGGGATCGAACATTCATCATCTATCTAGTCACAGTTCGTTCATCACAACTTCGCTCTCTTGTACATCCTCATAACAAATCGGCCGAGTCTCCACCGCCAGTCGCAATGCGTTTCTTCCTTGCTTTCCTCCTCGCTGCGCTGCAGATCTCCTTCGCGAGCGCCACTCTCCGATTGCAAAAGTGTGGAACCACATTCCCTACCAACGTGAGTCCTCTTCCCCTCCTCCATCTATGGCTGCGCTTTCTCAAACCCGCCCGCGCTTCTTTTGACATGGGAGTCGTCAATCGGCTAACTGTGAGCGTGTTCATCAGTGGGTTTCCAACTGCAGCCCGACGGACCAGCAGGACTGCAAGACTCTTTGCGGTCAGAAGGTGAGTTCACGCAGCTGCGCGGGGCGCATCTGAGGAGCGCGTCTCGCAGGGTACACGTCCCATCTTGGATCGGATTTTGCTGACTGGCGATCTAGTGCCGAACGGAAGGAGGACGACAGATGGCCAACGGGGCCGACTGCGATTGTTACTGCGGTCTTGCGTGATGCCCGCCCTTACGGCCTTCAGCTTCCTCTTCATAGTCAATTGCTCGGCGAGAAGGTTGAGTAAGACGAGTCAAATAGCGAACTAAAAAAGCATTCCATACCCACAGATGTTCACTAATTCGCGTGATTCGTTGGGGTGCACGTAGTTTTGAGTTTGACGGGTATCTTTTCCACGAGACCTATATCTTTGCAAGCCAGCTAAACCAGCATAGTAGCATTATATTAGCTATAAAGGAGTTGCAACTCTCGAGACAAACGAGAATCTGTGTTTGTCAACCAACCAATATCAGTAACCAGTCGTAAGCTACACAGCTCCAACTCACCTCCGGCCTCCCCGGCTTCCGAAAGCCTCTCCTCCATACCAACTATAGACATAATATATGATCCGTCTGTCCAGTGCCTCGAGCGGAGTACATAACCACTGCGAAAATTCTTGAAGAGACCTGTTTGCTTTCAGGAACACCTTCTGCCGTCTTCACAGCTCCTCACTCACCTAAACCGATGTATTCGATATGAAACGGAAAGGCATCCTACTCAGTCCGTCCCGTCTGTTCCTTGCGTGGCAGCAAGATTTATCTGCCAAATACGGGGACAGCAACCAGATCCTCTATTGCGAGTTCTTCTCAAGTAGGATGAGCCAGTTTTGCTTTCGAGCCGAACTCACCAACATGCGAATCGATATTCGATGTTAGTGCGCTGGAAGCAAATGTCCCTAAGAGTTCCAATGAACGGCAACCCTCAGTTGCCCGAAACCACAAGAGCCATCACCAGCAACATAGCCTTGAAGGCATACAGCACGTACTAACCTCCATATATGGCCGGGTCACGAGCTTGACTCGCGATGACACGCTAATGGGCGGCACTCAAAGCATCTTTAGATATGAGAAGAATGTACCAAAGTTTATAAGGTTTTAAACAACAACGTTTAGCTGATACAAAGATTTTGGCCACGTTTAGTCTTAGTAAAACATATTGGGATACCAGCGGCCAAAAACAACCTTCATATACGCCCGGAGGAGAAGTCCGGGTTCATTCTAGACGTGGTATAGTTGACGGCTCAAACTCGTAGAGCAACAGCTCTAGCAAACCGAAAGATCAGCCGGAAGTCCCGAGGACAGGATAAGAGGCGGGGATTTCAGGGCTGGGTGAAGGTGTCAAGTGGAACAAAGCCCCCGTCATCAAGTTCAGCCAAGAAGCCAGAAAGAAAGGGGGTCATTGTTGACTTCAAGAAGTTGATTGTCCAGACTTTCGGGCTCCTAGGCCTCTCGACTGGCACATGTAGGGTCATGTTAAAGCTCGTGGTTGTCCTACGTTTGCGAGTTACACTTGCTCGATTCGGTCTTCATTATTTTCTCGTACGAGTTGTGTCGGGACACGACCGCGAAGCTGACAGCTGGCGACCTATTGAAAGTGCTTCACATGCACGCCATCTCGAAATATCGTCTCATGACTCAAATTTACCAGTGTGATGGATGGGTGAACGACATCAGCAACCTACGCTTCTGGTTGAGTTTAAAGACATCTGTCACAGTTGACGGGTTAGATTAAAGTTATTACACCCATACTGTCGGGACGTTTTCAACACCAACCCCGTTTCGTGTATGTAGTAATGATCGAGATTTGCCCTAAAGAGCCCAGCATGCCGGAAACTTTCCAACCAGCCCACAGCTTCCAGCCCAGGCGACAGGTTCATCTTCAAGTTCGACCCTCGCGGACTACAAGACCGCCCACCGGGATGCCCAATCCACCCGATGTAATGTAGTTAGCGACAACCCTACATTGAGAGTTCTAGACACGGCGGTGCCATAGTCGTTCGCGCGGACAGAAATGGATGGCAGATAAAACCACAGGTTAGCGAAGGTCTCGTGTTCGGTACGGAGCTTCCCAGCCGCCCGGTGCCCATCCACTCTCGCCCGACCTCTCGGAGAAGGCCATGTCAATCGCACGCGCCCTTGTGTCGAGACTCTACCAGCCAGACTTTGCCCCTGTATTCAAGGGGCATAGTCAACGGTACGCCGAGAGATCGTGCAGGTGGAAAAGAAAGATGGCTGGTCAAGTCCCAGTGCCCGTCCAGTGTGTACGCAAACTGGAACCGAGCGCGATGCTCGTAAAAGTCCGTTTGAATGGCCGCAGCTCCGTGGAATTATTCCAATGTGTGGGGTGCCGACGCGGTTGGGCGGTAACGAGGGAGGTCAGTGGTCTGCGTTGCGATCAAAGCGCGAGCAAAGACCCAACCCTCTGGTTCCTGGTGTCAAAGCACGGAGGGTTGACAGGAACCGACAGGGCTTTGCAATGGCTTTTCGACTAGTTTCTCCCTCCGCTAACTGCTTCCACGGAGTCCATTGGCAGTAAAATCTGTGGGCGCATATAGCTTCCTTCGTGGGGCAATTGTCGGACGACGACTGCTCGTTCTCACGGAAAGGGGCTTTCCGCTGTACAGTTGAAACGACGTTTATCTTTGGATGAAGCCGAGCGATTGAAAAATAGCACGTTGATCCTCGTGGGCTTCTGCGTCTGCCGCGAAGCAGAACATTTGAAAGCGTTCCATCGCACACGCAGACCGGCCCCGGACGGCGAGGCCCGGAAGGACCCACCTCCGGCACGGCGACCGACCGGCGGAGTGGAGAAGTCTCAAGGCCGCTTAAACGGAGAACGATCCAGATTAGGAAAGTGATGGACTGTTTGACTTTGACACCTTGGTCCTGCGCGGCGTCAGCAATCGAATCCGCACCAACGGGAGGCAACCAGAAGGCGTCAGCTGGCACGACTCAAGCTGACATTCAATATCGCTTCGGTCGCACTGAAGTTCTGTCAACCCAAGCCAGTCGCGCCACGAAGTCGACCGCGCAGACTTCCCCGCTGATCCTTGGCAAGGGAGGCTGCCATTACTACGCCCATCGGCCGAGTGTTCAGTGGGATGACCTTTTTTGGTCGTCAGCCGCCAGAGTGCGGACCGGGACCAGGGACTGCTGCAAGGCTCGGTGAATAAAAAGCGCTAAGGCGGGATGCTTCACACCCAACCATTCATAGAGGGATTAGGGCTGTTGGGGGGACGCAGGATGCAATATTTCCCCGTCTGCGCATGCAAATGCTGGGTTGTAGATGCGCTTGTGAGTTACATCTGGGTGCGGGAAATGACTGCAAGGGTCTTGTTCCCTGCGAAAAGAGTGTGGATGGCCATGCCATGCTTAAGAGCCAGCTGGAATATGCCGGGCTCGGCACAAAGAACAGGCGGTGTCCAGGGGTATGGTGCTGACCACATCGTTGGTGCTGCTCATCTGGCCCTCGTATCAGGGTTGCAGCTTGTCGATAGCCATGGGTAGTCGCGATGGAACGGTACGCATGGCGTAGCAGTGAGGCACAGCATGTAAAAACCAGCTAGCTGATTTTGATTTCAACGTGCTTTTGCCTCTGGTTATTGAAGTCATTGAGAAACAATGGCCCTACACGACATATCTGCCGCAGTGTCACCACCGCTGGGCATGGGCTGAGAACCCGGAGCTCTGGCCCAGCCGTATTGTTGGAATACGGATGCAAATCGGGTGCTACTCGGAGATTGCTGCAATGGAACCGTTGCTTTTTTTCTCCGATTTGTACGAGTGGAATAATAAGTTCCTTCTTTGGGGATGGTGAGATCAGCCGTTGAAAGTTAATTCACAAAAGAAGAAAGCAGCTTAGCTTAGCCAAGGGAAAGACGGTGAGATGAGAGACAGGCGAAACGAGAGACAGCGTCAAGCCAAGCGGCTATACGGGACGGTAGAGCAAAATTGGCGGCGTTCGTGGCCGCCAAGAAAGGTGTGCGATCTTCCATGACCCTTGCAAGTGCTTCGATAGCATCTGCACGCAGCAGAATCTTGTTGCTGAGGGAGACTGAGGGTTCAGCATGCCGAGCCTAGGATTGGGGTAATCAGGCGTGGCCAATCCTTCCGGCTGTGCTTTTCTTCCGCGTTCCCTTGGACTTGGTGCCTTTTTTCCGCGTTATCAGTTGACCTGACGTGTCGATCTTGGAGCCAATCGCGTAGCTTCTTGTTTGACATGCATCGTAGCAATAATAGTGGCTTGGGAGGACTGCCAGCAATAATTCCTCACTGTGTAACTTGAGCGTTGCCGCAGCCGAGGGAAGCGGGAGAACAGAGACGGCGTCCCCTGTCCGTCACTTTGACAAGCATTGGCAGTTTGTGCAACTTGGGCCATCCGATCCTGACGGGCGCCGCGGAGAGAAGCGTCTCGACTTTGTGGAGTACAGATGGGAAATGGCGCATAGCTGAAGTCCATGATGTCAAAGTTGCTTCCGGTTATCAGCAGCCTTGGGTCACTCGTCTTGGGGGACGCTGTCAGCGAAGCAAAGAAGGGTTGACAATTTGGAGGGTTTGGTTAGCGCGCTGTGCAGGGTGTACCTGGGGTCGCGGAAGTGGCAGCTGGGGCACCGAGGCGATCAAAAGATCTGGCACAGGGATTAGCAGGCAGGGTGCGACGGACAGCTGCTGGCCAAGCACCACGGCGGCCCATATGCCGATAAGATGAAGGTTGTATCGGCAGCTTACCTTAAGTTGAACCAGGGTGCCTCATCATGGTGTGGCATTCGGGCCACCTGAGAAACCAAGGGGCCGTCCTAATGGTCCGTACGAAGTAGTCGTGTTCGGTGAGGTGGATCAATCGTATTCTAGGGCGAGTCCATGACGATTAGCGATAGGTTTCCAGGCGGGGCTTCGTTCCGCCGTCGACTTGTTGGTTGCAGGCTTGATTTTCCTCATTTAACTGTACGAAGTGCAGCACGAGAGCCGGGCAACGACTAAGGCGTAGTAGCAGTGATGAAGCCAGACGCTGCACCAGACAATGTTGTTGCGTGTTCAAGCCCGCAAGGTCAGCCGGAAAAAAGAACAGGGTTCTGGGTGTGTGTTTGAACTGAGGCGTCTTTTCCATTGACTTCGGGCTTCATCTGAGCATCAGTAGCATCATCTCGAGTTGTGTCGGTTTGACTGATAGGTTTGACTGATAGGTTTGACTGTCCCGGCGGGACAAGACGAGCGGAGCGAACGGGCCGGGTTTTCGGACTTATTGCTCTAATGAGGCACCGCTCCCTGAATAGAACAGGACGGCGACTGCCGACCGGAGGGCACTCGGACACGGACTCGAGCCTTCAACGAGGCGG